TCGGCAACTCGATCGATCTCTGGTCACCCGTCGTACCGGCCCGCATCGGTGCAACGACAAGAAGGGGAATACAGTACGCCGCCACCAAACCATCTCCTACACCGGTCTTGCCTCCCGCGTATAAAGCCCAACTCCGGTCCGTCAACCAGCAGCGCGCGCAGAGCTACCAACAGGACTGTTGGGCCAAACCCGCGACAATGGGGCGACGGCGGTACCGGCAGAGGATGCCGGCAAAGCCCGCCGCCCCGCCCGCGGTGTCGACCGGCTCGATGTGGAGATGCTGCGGCATCCGGAAAAAGGCTGGTGGAGGCCGTCGTCGAGGTCGCCGTCGTCCTCCTCCTCGGCATCGTCGACGGCCGCCGCCCCGCCCCGGCCGCCGACGAGGCTGAGATTGTCGAATCAGCCGAGGATCAAGGCATTGGTGGGTTTGCTGCTCATTTCCTACCCTTTATTACCTGCCTAGGTGCCTGGTTAGGGGAGGGGTGTATAGAGAGATTATTGAAGCTTGGTCGCGGACGGAATGCCCCTGGTAAGTGTCACCTAACTTTGCATTTTGGCGGATTACCTGTACTTTTGGAAGTAATGTATCTGGCCAGAGAGGGTAGCAGAAGCATACTTACGGAGCTAACAGTGCTTGGCAGAAGCATACTTACAAAGCTGACAGTACTTGGCAGAAGCATACCTACGGAGCTGGCAGTGCTTGGCAGCCGAAGCAAGACCTTTTGTGCGAGGTGGTGTCACATGACATGCCCCACAAACGCTAGTATTTATTCGACACCTTCGTCAACTTCCTGACCGCCAGCAACTTTTTCAACCACGCCTTGGGTCTAAATCCACGCCCGACACGGAATCCATGCTCCTGTCGAAACAGAACAATAGGATCCCATTTCACAAGAATGGGTGCCAGCTGCTGGCCCGAGAAGATGGCCAAGGTGAAGCTGGCCATCATCGAGTACCTGTGCACGAGGCACGGCGACCACGGCCGCCAAGGTGAACCCGGCCATCATCGGGTACCTGTGCATGAGGCACGGCGACCACGGCAAGGGCCCCAACCAGCTGGGCGTTGGGGACTCGGCAACCGGCATCGTCATCACCAACTGGGTCGGGAAAGGACGGCGACTGGGACCTGATCCGCGCCATTGTGGGCTGAACGCTCGACTGGCGGGAGTATGTTCGACGACCGGATGAGCGACAACGACGACGACGGGTCCGCCAGCCTCGTCGGCTTCGGCGAGGGCGCTGGCAGCACCGTCTCGGGCCCCATCTACCGCGCTGGCAGCACCATCTCGGGCCCCATCTACCAGCGCCGGCCGGTGCCCGGAACGAGCTCGGCTGGCGCCATGGCCTTTGCGCGCTGGCAGCTCGAGCGCGGCGCGTC